GTCGTACCCGCGCGGAGGAGGCCCGCCTCGGTCGTCGGGGCGCCTGGCGGGACGACGGGTCGGTGTGGTTTGCGAGGGAGGGGCGGCGCGGGGCCGCGTGCACCGCGGCGGGGCGTGTCACGCGCAGTACTCGTGGCGGGGCCCGGGTGGGCGGGACGGCGGCCCTGAGTGCCCCTGAGTAGCAGGGCAGCCTGCTTGCTGGCCGGGGGCTGCCCTGAGGTTGCTGCCGTGTCATTGAGACGGCCGGGGCTTGCGCGGGCGGCGGGCGCCGCCGCGACTCACCGGGGCACTTACCCCTTAGCACTTACCCCCCGGCTTTGCGCACGCAACGAGGGACAGCAGCGGGCCCTGGGGCTGGCGCCTTTGAACACCGCCGACGTGCAGAGAGGCCCGGCCTCCCTGCCACGCGCAGCCTGCTGATGGCTCCCCTCCCACAACGAAGACGCACCCCTGGGGCCCTTTGTGCCCGCGTTGGACCCAACCCGCTTTGAGAGCCCGCGCTTCCCATAGCTGTGGCAACAGCAGCCAGGCAGGCAGGCAGCGGCCCCCAAACGACGCGCGCGCCAACATCGCCACACAAGCCCTCTCATTCCTTTGTGTTTCGGACGTCGCCAGCCGTTGCAGAATTGCTCTCCGAGGGCACGGGTGCGGGGACGCTGCCCCCCTTTGCAGCAGCCCTCGCAACCCCGCGGCCCGCGCCGCACGTCCGCCCTCGCCCGTAGCTCCCTCCTCTCTGCTCTCGCCTCCCTGTGCCTGCCCCCGCCCCATTCCCCTCGCCCCCTCGCCCCCGCCGTACCTGGGAGGCTCCCTGTCCACCGGCGGCGGCGCAACCCCCGCCGCCAGAGCCGCCGCGAGCGCCTTCTTCTTGCTCTGCTTGGGCAGCCGGCTGTCGCCGCCCAGGCCGCCCGCCAGCCGCATCGGCCGCCTGCGTCGGGCCGATGCCGGGGCCATCAAAGGCGTGAGCAACCCCTTCGGGTGCGGCGCAGCGCAGCCCCGCAGCAGGGAGACCCCTTGTCAGGCGCCCCTCCAACCAGCCTTTCAGCCCGCCGCCCCGGCACAAACATATACATACAACCCCAAGAAAGCACCCTCCTCTGGAGAACCGAAACCCTGCGCGCACCATCCCTCCACCGTGCGGCCGCGCTCCACGTCCACCAGTATCCTGCGGCCCTCGATCTTGACGCCGTCCATGCTCTTGTAGGCCTCCTTCATGTCCGACTTGGACTCATACGTTATGAACGCGTAGCCCCGAGGCTTGTCTGGGGGTGGAGGGCGGAACGGGGGTCGAGAGTGTGACAAAGAGTGTGTGTGTGTGTGTGTGAATGTGTGTGTGCGTGCGTGTGTGTGTGTGTGTGTGTGCGTGTGTGTGCGTGCGTGTGTGTGTGTGCGCGCGCATGCATGCGAGCACGCATGTGTGCGTATGTTTACACGTAGGCATATGTCTACATGGATATACATACATGTGGAATGATGACTCAACCAACAAGATGCAGCGCTCAGGTGGTCTGCCGCGTGAGGAACAGCGCATGGGCCCGCGCCCAGGTGAAGCTGGCCCGCCGCCGCCGTCCCCGCATGCCCCCAACCCCCGCCTTCACAGGACCCCAGGGGCCGCCCCATTCCCTTTCGTCCCCCCGCGCCCGCGGCCCGCGCCCACCCTTGTCCTTGGCCTGCACCAGGCGGACGTGCTTGATGGGGCCGAAGCGCTCAAACTCCCCGCGCAGCCGGCGCTCCGTGACCTCGTAGCTCAGCCGCGATATGAACAGCGTCTTGAAGGGGTCGCCCTGGTGGGGGTGGTTTGCGGTTGGTGACGTGTGTGTGTGTGTGTGTGTGTGTGTGTGTGTGTGTGTGTGTGTGTGTGCGCGCGTGCGTGCGCGCGAGCGCATTCCGGGGGGCAAGAGGGGGGGACATCATCTTGTCTGCCGGCAGGGAGTTCACCTCAACGCTCATGCCCCGGGGGCCGGGCCAGCCTCCACATACAGCGCCACCAGCCAGGCATAACGCAATGGAATTCAGTGGGAAGCGCCAGCCCCCGGCCTCGGCTCACCTCCACCAGGGGGTCTTTGTTGGGGTCGAACCGCGCCACCCGCTCCTCCAGCAGCTTCGCATTCTGCTGCAGCTTCCACGCTACAAGGCGCTCGTCCCTGGCAGCAAGGAGAGGCGGCGGCGCCGGCGGTGCGTGGGGGAAAGGGGGGCAGGGCTGGGGCTTGGCAAAGACCCCTGGCTGCGCGGGCGGGCGCATGGGTGTCACCACCGCCGCGCCGCGGCCAGCCAGCCCGGCCCGGAAGCGCCTGCAGCCCGGCACCACAAGCCCGACGACCTCGCAGTCAAGGCGGCGCGATGCAAAGCGGCCCCTCGTCCCCCCGGCCCAAGAAGCACGCCCCGCCCCTGCAGGCGCGGGCGCCGCCAGGCCCCACCCACTTTTCGAGCTTGGTCTCCGCGTCCACCCGCGCCTGCACCACCAGCTCGGGGTTCCTGTACTTCCGCGGGCTCGGCGGGCGGTCCTCCGGCCGCGGCGGCTCGTACTCCGGGTCGCCTGGGGCCGCGAACTCGTCTAGGTATTGGCCGACGCCGCTGTAGGGCTGCTTCGGCGGCCGCTTCGGGATCGGCTCAAGGAACGGCAGTGGCGGGTTGGCGACGAACAAGCGCAGGATCTTCTCCGGCAGCCCGGTGGGGTGGCCGGTTTTGACGGACTCCTTGAGGGTCTTGGTGATGACGCTGCGCGACGGCTTGCGCCACGAGTCCATGGCGGCGCCCCGCGCGCGCCGCGCTGCGGTCGGGCTGTGCTGTGGGTGGGGCTGCCGCCGCGGCCTGGCGAGCTCTCGCTGCTACTTGCTTTCAAGATTAGCCGATATTATCTAATTATGGCCCAGATGTGCGCTGTTGACGTGAACTTGGCCGCAGCCAGCAAGATCAAGATACTAGTCTGCCCGCGCCAAACTTATCCAGAGGGTCTAGATGAGACTAGATACGTGCAGAGATTCTTTGTGGCACACAGATGCTTCAACCACAGACTGTGATCTTGCAGAGTGGCTCTCACAAAGTCCCAGTGCCGTTCTCAGCTTGGTCGGCTAGCAATGTGATGGGCTCTTACTCGACAGGCATCATTCCCTGACACATGCCAACGCTGGCCGCTTGCACGCGGTGGTGGCAGCTGCTGCCCCAGTAGCCGCTCATCAGTACAGCCATGCGGATTGGCACCCCTTCTGCCCGCACTGTCTCCATGCACTGTCACTGCAGCCCGCCATCTGTTGAATTCTATCGTTTCAAGGGATTGAACTACACACAATGAACACGTGTTTGGCTGCAGAGAGGAACAAAGCCTTGTCAGTTGAGAACATGTCATCTGCTCCGCGGCGG